CACTCAGTTAATGAGCCAATCAGATCTTTAGTTTTTACAGTAACAGCCTCACTCAGTTAATGAGCCAATCAGATCTTTAGTTTTTACAGTAAGAGCATCACTCAGTTAATGAGCCAATCAGATCTTTAGTTTTCCCTGCACGGTGCAGCGAGTTCTCACCAGAGACAAGTTGAGAAGGAGCAGAGAGGAAGAGATAGCATGTCGTGCTCCAAAATAAGAAATGTTGATGCTGAAAACTGTTTTAAAGATAAATAGACAGAGAAATTTAGGTTCATTCTTCTAGCAGGAAGTTCAAAACCTTTTTGCCTCATATGATGTGAAAAGGCCACATTAATTAAAAGTGGCAATGTGAAGCGCTCTTCATTTCTTTTGAGCAACGTTATCGGCTGAAGTCGAGCAGAGAGCAGTACATTAACTGAACTGCAAGCCCCTTATGACAGATCCACCCTCCTCATCGCAAATACTTTTACAGCCCAGCAGCTGCTGAATGTTCACTCAAGGTATCGTGGATTTTGGAGCAACATAAAAAAACGTTTAGTGATGGGACAGTCCTGAAGGAATGATTAAATGCTGTTGATGAGACTTTGATGGAAAACAAAAAGACGAGATGTGTGAAAAAAAAAATCAAACAAATCCCGACGTCAACTTCAACAGCAAGCAGAAAATCAGAAATATTAGCAGATGATGTGCTGGCACAGCTGGATGCTGCTGTCCAGAGTCATTGATAAGTCTACAGATGTTACTGATCATCAACTTTATTTATAAAGTGCTTTAACACAGCCACAGCTGAAACAAAGAGTTGAACATCAGTTAAAAACAAGATTAAAGAAAGCATTAAAAACAAAGCTACAAAGCCAAGCACACAATGAATTAAAAACTTAATTTAAAACACAATAAAACGACGAGTTAAACAGATCAAATCAATACCAATAAAAATGAAATAAAATCAAGTGTCGGTTGGTTGAAGGCCAATGAGTAGAGATGAGTTTTCAGACGGGTTTTAAACATGGACAGTGAAGGGGAGCGTTCCATAACTTAGGGGCACAAACAGAGAAGGCCCCGTCTCCTCGAAGCTTCCAGTTACTCTTGGGAATGACCAGAAGCAGCTGGTCAGAGGACCTGAGTGACCGAGGGGGAGTGTCGTGGTGGAGAAGCTGTTAAATGATGCCGAGCTTCCTACATGAGAACAGCTCTGACGCCAACCAAGATTTAATTTACTGGCAGGACAATCCCACGTCCATTTCTCTAATTAAGAAAAGTCAAATAAAGAATAATCAAAAGAGAAAAGGTGTTTTAAGCTCTGTTTTCTGTTTTTTCCTAAAATAGACATTTTTATTTATTGTTTTCTGAAGATGGTGTCGTGTTTTAATTGAAAACTTTAAATTTTATAGGTTGGTGCCTCTTAAAAAAAAAAAAAGTTTACTTGCTCTGTTTACACCTTTTTATACTACAAAAGCCACTTTTTAAATTGTTTTCTTTTTTTTTTTATTAGTTCAAGTGTAAGCCTTCAATTCTTTAGGCTTGGACCTCTTCGGTTTAAAAGAAAAAGGCTTTTTAGGCTCCGTTTGCATATTTAAGATGTATTTTATTCTGAGCTTTCAGTTTTAATCTGAAATAAAGGTCTTAAATTTATTTGTCTGGGACTATTTTCAATTATGGAGCTAGTTGTTTACCATAAAGTGCAGCTTAACAGTGAAAATGTGAGCACGGGTAGGAAAGACCATAAAAGACAAAAGTTGGACATTCGTTCGGACCTTTTACAGGAGGAAATTTTAGTAACTGGACCTCAGTGAGTTTTAATTGAATACCTCTGCTCTAGAGAAACATTTCAAAATAAACGTCACTTATTAAATGAACGCAGCGTTCAGAACGTGCTTAATGTTTTATGAAAGAACATCTTACAGCTTTCACTTTATTTGATATCATTCAAGTCAAGGAGGAGACGTCTGTATTTATTTACATTTAGTTACAGCTGTTCAGTTTCTGTAAACAACATTTTGTTCATGAAATAAACATCCAGTTTCCACAAAACTAAACGAGTTCAAACATGAGAGCAGAAGAAACAAAATGTTTTCAATGAATCAAATAAAACCTGACGAGCATCTGAAGAACATCTGACGACTCGTTTTACTGTTACAAGCTGCCTGGAGACAAACTTGTCTCTGTGTCTCAAAAGTCTCACTTGTCCCAGCCAGTCACCTCGTAGAACAGGGACTTGAGCAGCCGAGCCTCGTAGGTCACAGTGTTCCTCCCTTGGTGGGTCTGGATCTCCTCCAGGGGCTGCTCGATGAAGGCCGAGACCTCCTTTCCATAAACTGTCGGGAGACGTGGAGGACAACAACTCAATGTGTGAAAGGTCAAAGGTCAGTTTATTTGTCGTGCAGAGGACGGTTGTGTCTCTGTGACTCACCCTCACAGTGCTCCAAAAACTGAAGACACTCCTGGACCACGGCGTCCCGCAACATGATCATGTGTTTGGACATGTTCTCCAGCAGAGACAGGAAACAGCGCTTGGCGTAGAACCACGTGTCCGTCCCCAACTAAAGACACAAACAAAAACCGTGTTTTTCCACGTGTCCATTTTACATAAAAACATTTCATGTTTATTTTTGAACAAAGCTCCAGGAATCTGTATGGAAATAAACCAGAGATCAGGAGGTCAGAAGCTGCTCAGAGCGCCTCCAGGGTCCACTTTCCTTAGGTCTGTTTGGTTCTCGCTGTGAGGGAGACGGTTTGTGTCCTCGGTTGAGGTTCAGTGGACTCAGCTGCAGCCACAGCCAACTGATGTGACAGACCAAAGGTCCTACAGAAAGCAGCTCAGTCTCAGGGCCCTTTAGGACAAACTGGACTGGGATTGAGTCTTTTAAGAATGATAATTATCGCAGAAAAAAAAAATCAGTTTTTATGAACATCGAACTGTTGTCATTTAACCACCCGAGTACCTGAGACACTTTCACATCTGTATACTCTGATGAAGTAAAAAAAAAAAAAAAAAGGAAGCATACTCGTAAGGTTCAGTTTGACTTCAGGTAAAGGATCAGTTTAACTTCATACTTAGGATCGGTTTATAGTGAGGTTCAGGATCAATTTAACTTCAGGATCACTTTAACTTCTGGTTCAAGATCAGTTTAATGTCAGGTTCAGGATCAGTTTAACTTCAGGTTCAGAATCAGTTTAATGTCAGGTTCAGAATCAGTTCATCGTCAGGTTGAAGATAAGTTTAACTTCAGATTCAGGATCAGTTTATCATCATGTTTGGGATCACTTTATCAGGTTCAGGATCAGTTCAATTCAGAATAAGGATCAGTTTAACGTCAGGTTCAGGATCAGTTTATCATCAGGTTCAGGATTAGTGTAACTTCATATTCAGGATCAGTTTATCGTCGTGTTCGGGATCAGTTTAACTTCAGGTTCAGGATCAGTTTAACGTCAGGTTCAGGGTCAGTTTAACTTCAGGTTAATCAGGATCAGTTCAGGTTCAGGATCAGTTTAACGTCAGATTCTGGATCAATCGTCAGCTCCAGAATCAGTTTAACGTCAGGTTCAGTTTAACATCAGGTTTAGGATTAGTTTAACGTCAGGTTCAGGGTCAGTTTAACTTCAGGTTCAGTTCAACTTCAGGTTCATCAGGATCAGTTCAGGATCAGTTTAACGTCAGATTCTGGATCAATCGTCAGCTCCAGAATCAGTTTAACGTCAGGTTCAGTTTAACGTCAGGTTTAGGATTAGTTTAACGTCAGGTTCAGGTTCAGTTTAACTTCAGCTTCATCAGGATCAGTTCAGGTTCAGGATCAGTTTAACTTCAGGTTCAGGATTAGTAAAACATGAGTTCAGGATTAGTTTAACGACAGGATTAGGATCAGTTTAACTTCAGATTGAGGATCAGTTTAACTTCAGGTTCAGGATGGGTTTAACTTCAGATTCTGTATAAGTTTATTGTCAGATTCAGGAGCAGTTTAACTTCAGGTTCAGGATCAGTTTATCATCAAGTTCATGATCAGTTTGACTTCAGGTTCAAGTTTAGTCTATTGTCAGGTTCAGGATCAGTTTAGGTTCAGGATCAGTTTGACTTCAGGTTCAGGATGAGTTAAACATCAGTGATCAGTTAAACATCAGTTCGAGATCAGTTTAACGTCAGGTTCAGTTTAACGTCAGGTTCAGGATCAGTTCAACTTCAGGCTCAGGATCAGTTTATCGTCATGTTCAGGAGCAGTTTAACTTCAGGTTCAGGATGAGTTTGTTGTCAGGTTCAGGATGAGTTTATCGTCAGGTTCAGGATCAGTTTAACTTCAGGTTGAGAATGAGTTTAACTTCAGGTTGAACCAATTTCTGAGAGCTTATGACACAGATGTCATGATCCACAGTGTCAAAAGCTTTAGACAGGTCTAAGAAAAGTGCAGCACAATAATCCTTAGCATCCAGTGCTTCAACAAAGTAATTAAGAACCTTCAGTGAAGCAGTCATTGTGCTGTGTTGTTTCCTGAAACCAGATTGATGTGGAGGTAAGATGTTAAATGAGTTCAGATAATTTTTAATTTGAGAGTTTATCAGTTTTTCAAAAACCTTGGCTAAAATGCAGAGTTTAGAGATTGGTCGATAGTTGTTCAGTGAGGTGGGGTCACCTCCCTTCAGCAAAGGAAGAACAAAGGCTGTTTTCTGAGCATCTGGAATGAAGTTTTGGCTTATGGACAGGTGTGGGTGACAGGAACTGTGATGATATGAGCGGCCAGCCTTAAGAAATAAGGTAGAAGTTCATCTGGTCCTGCAGATTTTTTAGGGTCAAGACCTTTTAACAGTTTATTTACCTCACTAACTGAGAATGGGTAAAATAAAAATATGTGATTTTCTGAAGATTGACTTTGTAGGAGAGATATGGTTTGTAGAAGTTTGACTTTTAGGAGAAGTGGATGATTTTCCATTAGTAACTGTGTCAAATAAAGAACTAGAAGCAACAAAAAGTCTGTTGAACAAATTGTCCCAAGTGGTCAAAAGAACTAGTAAAGTAACTGGGTCATCAACAAATGCAACTTACAGACCTGTATAGTCAGGTCCTGGAATAAAGGCCGTCCATTGACCCAAGTCATCCACTGTGACTATTATTCAAGCTGCTTCCATCAGGCACAAGACTGACGATTCCGCTAACAAAGACCGATGGGTCAAAAAGTTCTTTGTTCCCTCTGCTGTGATTGTCCTTAACAGGTCCCCTTTAAACGTAGCCTCACATGACAAACCATTCGTCTTATGGGTTAATGCATCGTGCAATTTATGAATGTTCTAACAATTATTTTTAAATGTTTCAATGCATTTTTAACGTTTGTGTCATATGTATGAGACAGATGAGCTGACTATCCATGCTGCTGATCTCATGCTGCTGTGTTCATTCATACTCATTTGCTCACAGACTAATAGTGCTGCTGGGGGCTGAGATGGGTTAGAGGAAGGGCAGCCGACCTGGGACCCCAAAGTCCCAGGTTCGATCCCCAGCCATGCCCACATGTCATAGTATAGTGTCTCAGAGCAAGACACCCAATCCCTAACTGCTCCCCGGCCGCCCACATAGCTGCCCACTGCCCCACCTGGGTGTATCGCAGGTGCGATGGGTCAAATGCAGAGAACTAATTTTGCCATTGCATGAGAACATACTGTACAGTGATGACAATCTCAGACTTCTCTTATCTTCCCTGTTGTTCAGCATAGTTTTTGCACTATTAAGTGTTTAGTGTATTTTTAACTTAGCATATTTCTTAGTTCATATCTTAGATCTTATTACAGTTGTTCTTTTACAATTAATACGTTTGTTGGATGTAACTGGGACCCTGTGCACACAATTTCGTTTCATCACATGTACCACATGTGAGGCGAATGACAATAAAAAAAACTTTGGCCTTGACCTTGAGATGGCAAAGACAAGGCTCCATTTCATAGAATGGTATGGACAATGCAATTATGTTAAATTGAATTCAAATTTTATTTAGGGGTTAATTGACAGTAGACTTTTCTGTTTGTGTAAAAAAAAAAAAAAAACAACAAAGTGAAAAGTAAAAACCTTCTTATTGTACGGCTCCAGGCTCTTGATGACTCGAGAAATGCCGAAGTCGTAATTTCCTTTGGCACAATACAGCGTCCTGAAACCAATAAACCATTTTAGAGCTTGTTTTAATGAGAAGTTGCCTCCAACTAGTGAAGATTTTGTGTTTAATATTTACCTTTATGCACAAATTATTTCCTTTAAACTGAGGCAGAATGTTTCCTAAAACAAAGTTGACCTCCTAAGTTCCTCAAGACTAAAAAAGTTTCAATTGAGTTTTGAAGGGTTTTCATAACCGAAAAAAAAAAAAAAAAAAAAAAACAGCTGAAGGGAGTCCAATGCAGTGGAGTCTGACTCACAATATGACCAGGTTAAGAATCAACAGGTTAACTAGACTCAGTCAATCAACAGGTTAATTAGTCTCAGTCAATCACCAGGTTAATTAGTCTCAGTCACTCACCAGGTTAATTAGTC